TATATAGAGGGAAAATGACAAATTGTTAAATTCTATGCCCTTTGTTCAATTTAGCACCCTACAATTCTAGAATATACTGTCGAAAATAACAGAGAATTTCTTAACCCATTATTATTGTCACTTCTATTATGAAAATATTTTTTAATTACGAGATAAAAAGTAACATTATTTATAATAATATAATATTTGTAACAATTATAAAATTATTTATTACAAATTATAAGAAATGATTTTTTTGATTTCTCCAGAGCATTTCCCTCAGTCAATCACTACTTACTTATTCATAAACTAAGATCCTTTAATATGTCGAACTCAGTGTGGAAATGGTTTTTGGGTCTTATATTGATTCAAGGTACCAGAAAATCATTGATGGAAATGGGAATTTTTCAGAATGGGACAGACTAGAATGTGGTGTTCCTCATGGGACAGCTCTCTTATTTCTTCTTTTTAATCTTTTTGTTTCAGATCTGGAAAAAAAACTTAAATATTGTAAATACCATAAATATGCAGATGATTTCAAAATTTATTGTCAGGCCCATTGCTCACACTTAGTGACATGCTGCACAAGATTCAATTAGATATTAATCATGTTGTGGAGTGGGGAAAAAATAATTGTCTTATGCTAAATTCTAGTAATACTCACGCTATGTTCGACATCTCCTACTATGGAAACCTTATTCGCTTTTCCTTCACTCCTGGTGGAGGGAAATCCTATTTCATACAAGAAAAATGTGAAGGATCTTGGTTTAATAATGAATCGTACTTTGTCGTAGAAAGAACAGGTCGACAATATTTCAAGAAAAACATTCATAATTTTACAACAATTAAATAGAAATAAAGACTCCCTTCCAACTGCAACTCGTTTGTTATTAATAAAATCTCTTGTTCTTCCCAACTTTAATTACTGCTGTCAAGTTTATGACGATATCACCGATAAGCTTAATAAAAGGTTGGAAGGAGCACTGAATGCCTGCATTCGATTTGTTTACAATTTACCTAAGGCTGAGCACATCACACAACATAGAATTAAGTCAGGATTATTAAATGTAGCTACTAGAAGACATTTTTTTTATAGGTAATTTACTCTATTCTGTCATTAATAGCAAGACTCCACTATATATATTTAACTTTTTTGATTTTAAAACTACCAATCAACCAAATTATGCGAGACTCCAAAAAAGAAAAAATATTTTAAATATACCTGTTCACAAAACTTGTAAAATGCAAAGGTCTTTCATTGTCAGAGGTGCTAGACTTTGGAACAAACTTCTATCGACTATTAGGGATTCATCTAATTTATATAATTATAATTATATAATTCTTGCGTAAAAGTAATTCTGTGTATTAGTTCCTCAGTGGGCTGTAAGCCCTAGGAACTTGATCTCATTAAATAAATAAAATAAATGCGCGATTAGTTTCTAATTCCATTGTCAATTAACAATTGAATACTCAATGAATCGCATTATTATATATTTATGGAATTAAGAAAAGAAAGTTTATTCATAGTAATTTAATTAAGATCAATATATAATTGTAATAATTATAGGTATACAGGTATACATAGTTGTTTAGGAAGTCAGTCACTTTTATAGGCTTAATTGAATAATCTGTATTTGATTAGTCTTTAGCAAGTTATAAGCATTACAATCACGCAATTTATAATGGGCGAACTTTAAGCATTGAAGAACACTGAACAGGATATGTATTACAGTATATGGAAAATGAATTTATGGTCAGGCTATTTCTTCACTTCTTGAAATGTTAAATATAACATTATACCTACACGGAGAAAAAAGAATTATTGTGGTTACTAAAAATTAAGTCCACACAACAATTCCGGATTGTCAATGTAGAACCAGCAGTTCTATTTGTTTTTGGGACAAAAAAAGTTGTTAAAATGGGATTATTATTAAACTCAGCAAAAAAAATAATTAGGAGTAAGCGAAAAAAATTGGTTTCGAAATGTAAAAAAGCCGATTTGGATTAAGAAATATATAATTTTTTAAAAAGAAATAAAAGCGAAGTGTGACAGATTCACCGACAATTTTATCAAGTGTTTAGTGTTCAAGAGAAAAGAATTCACGGTAAGAAAAAAATAATTCACAGTAACCTTCCAATTCGGTTTTTTCACCAAACCAAATTCAGCTTAAGTGACCACCAATTCTTTTCGCTTACTCCCAATTATTTTTTTTTATTTTGGAAACTATTTGGATTGTTCGGTGAATAAACAGAATTGTTTGATGAACAATTTGTTGTATTAACAAAGCTTTGAACCGTCTAATAATAATTTGTTCAGTTTCTTCGCCTTCTAAAATAATCGATAACAGATTTCCGTACATCATATCACCAGTTTCATTTGCATTAAAATCTGTGGAACATGCAGCTTCTGAATCAAATTCTTTGAAATGAAACCAAAAAATTATTTTGAGTTGAAATTTGTTGTTAAATAATATTTAATATACATTTTGTATTTTTTAAGGTGAGGTTATGTTCAATAGTAACCGAGTATAACTTACCGATAAACAATGAAATTGTCTCTTCATCCATACACTGCACTTGCAATAGATTTTTCACTTTAACCAGATTCATTATTTAACAGCAGTTTGTCATTTAAAAAAAATTAATAATAAAAGCAAAAGTGGCACATGTACCAGAAGCAAACGACGCGACGATCTGCACGCCAGTTTGCGAGAATTTAAGATGACCACGTGACATGGAACAATAAACCTGTCAGCTGAACAAATCCGGATTGTTCTATGAGCAATCAACAGAGAGTTTGCTTCTGGAAATGTACGGAATTGCAAACTGAACAGAACTGACAAAAAATTCGTATTGTTGTTAAAACAACATACATTTGTATTGACAACTATCCGAATTGTAATATTAACATTTCGAATTGTAATATCAAAAAATCTACTCACAACAATACAAAAATTATTTACACCACAATCCCATTTTTCTCCGTAATTAGATTATTCTACAAACATTTATGAAAATCAGTTTTATTACATAGGTTTTTATTTGGATTTTGTATCAAGACTCATGAGAATTCGTGGCCTAATTTGCGGAACCATTTACAGCGTTATGACATTTGAACCTTGAAATTGCTACCGTATTTGATTTCAATAAAGTTATGTCCAACATTGTGACGTTATTTCGATATTACTCGTATTTCCATTCATTCAAACTTCAAGACGAGTTTCAAGACGAGGAGTGAAATTCTATTGTCAGCAAGTTTATGCAGTCTGAAAACTTTGTTAGTATCTGCAAAGTAGATGTTATCATTTCATGGATGACAGAAACTAATCTTATATCTACAATACTGATGCAGTCAACTGATTAAGGATGATTTCTAAGATATTTTAATGTAAAATTACCTATTCAATTAATTACCTGAAGTTTGTTCAACTAATTTTAGAATTATGCGATGATGACTTTATTAGCAAGAAGTCAATGAATAGTGTAGTATACTAAAACGACTAATTGTAAGTTGAAAGTATAGAATAAAATTCAGGCAGAGTAACTGACTCGTAGGTGATACGCCACAAAAATTTTAATTTATACTGATCATTAGACGTAGAATTCTCCCACACAGCACAATATATTGCTGTAAGCTTACCTCAAGTTTACATGTAATTTTTGTAAGCTAACCCTGTAAGCTTTAGGTAAGGTCGAGGTAATATAAAAATGTCCGCCATACAGTAAGCTTACACAGTAATGCCATGGTAAGCTTACATGGTAGGGGCACTGTAAGCTTACACGGTAAGATCACTGTAAGGTTACAGTAAGCTTACACTGTAAGCTTATATTAATTGCTAACAAATAACAAAGTATTAATTTATCAACTTACAGTAAACAATAAATTGTTTTGCACAATTATATTTATTTTGTCATTTATATAAAAAACCCCGGTAGCGTTTGCTTAAAAAAATTTACTGCGCATTCGTAAGTGCCATAGAAAGCTACTGCACATAAATATTTTAAAAAAATTATTTATTGATACCTTTGAAAACCTGCCGTGTAAGCCTACTGTAACCTTACAGTGACTTTGCCACGTAAGTTTACTATGTCCTTACTGTGTAAGCTTACTGTATGGCGGACATTTTTATATTACCTCGACCTTACCTGAAGCTTACAGGGTTAGCTTACAAAAATTACATGTAAGCTTGAGGTAAGCTTACAGCAATATACTGTGCTGTGTGGGCTCTCAGCTTTCAAACAGTTTAAGTTCCAAGTTTCTATTTTTTATTCTAAATTGAAATATCTTCTTTTAAAGTCAGCTCAAATTTTCCACTGCACTCACGCCTATCGTACCGACAATTTGTGTCTAACATAGAATTTTAGACGATTTAGAAAAATAATATTATTTAAACGATAAGTAGGCGATGCACACAAATTGATTTAGAATTTACCACTTGTTGCAACTAATTTTTATGTATAGCGTGAAACTTATTCAAAAGAAGATATTCAATAAGCTAGAGCTTCAAATGAAATTTTCTCAATAATTGTGTCAATGAAAAGGGAATCTGCTTACGTAATCTACGTAGTGTCGTAAAATAGAATTTAGCTACACTTCAAAATCTAAATCGTTCATCAATTGAAAATTATATAATGGTATTTTATAATTAACAGATTAATTAAAGGACTTGACCCTAATATTCAACGTTATTGGTAGTTAAACTTAGCATCAAATACAAATTGCCCAACTATGATGAGTTGGATAATTTTCTTTTACCTCGAATTGATGTATCAAAAGCACTTCATCATGGTGAGACTGCGGTTAAGTAAAATCAATACCGTTAATATGTGCAAAACCAAAATCGCCCTTTTAATTAGGTGTCAAAATATATTTTTAAATTTAGAATAAAACTTTCTCAGTGTATCTGTATTAAATATCAGAAACTTTAATTTAGATGCAAATTTAAATTGGCATATACGTTTTTAAATGCCTATTTTATTATCCTTAAAGTTTGTATTGTAATACTATTTTTTGCTTACAGACTAATTCATGGAGAAAGATTAGAGCACAAAAGGGATGTGCAGTTCCTAGAGGACGAAGAGGTCACTCGGCTTTGGTACATCGAGGTCAAATGTTAATTTATGGAGGTTACCAGGATTTACGAGGAAGCTCTCCCGAACTTTGGGCTTTTCATTTTGGTAAATTCCTAGATTAATATTTTGTAAATTTATTTAATTTTATCGAAATTTAATCTACAAATTTTTTTTTTGTTTATAATAATTATGATTGTATAAAATTTAATAATTTAGTAGTGGTAATAGATTACATAGAAATTTGTTTTTACCATTAGTATTTAATTCTTTAGAAACGGAATCCTGGCACCTACTGTCATCCAGTGAATGTGGACCAGCGGCTCGTCATAAACACTCATCAGTTTTACATGATGACGCCATGTACATTTATGGTGGAATGACAGATCTTCAAGAAAGAAGTGACTGTTGGCGATGGGATGTCCACACAGCTTCCTGGTGTATGTTGAAAAATAAACCAGGTCCAGGACCACTTCATGGTCATGCCGCTTGTCGATTACCAAGTTGTATGTTAATTTTTGGTGGAGAAAGTGGTGGTCTTGCTACAAATGAACTCTGGAGGTTTCATTTTGGTACGTATATGGGGTTGTATTAAAAATTTATTCAAATTTTATGAATAATATATTATGAATAGAAATCTTGTTTGCAAATAAAAATTTTTAAATGGATTTTATCAGATTTTCTTAATTTCCCTCCTCAAATATTAAAAGTGAGGAATTTTTTTCATTTCCATAAATCACAGGAACGGAAACGTGGGAGAAGCTTGCAGTTCCGGGACCAAAGCCTCAGCCAAGAGCGGAAAGCGTTGCTCTCGCTGTTTCCGAACTCGTTATTCGTGGCAATGGTTTGGACAATTCTAGACCTAGACCAAGAAGTCAAAGACCCAGACCTCCTTGTAGTAGAATCTCACCCAATGAGGCGCCAACGAGACCCAGTTTTCTTAGAGAAATTTCAAAACTATCTCAAATTAATTTATCCCGGCTTAGTCATCCCAACAAATGCAGCTATTCTGTATTAAGTGGACATGATGACATTGAAGAAAGCCCAAATGATGTAAGTATTTCGAATAAAAAAAAGTTACGCTCGCTTTATTAATTTTTCCTTCAATTAATTGATTATAATTTCTCAACTTATATATGAAATTTTTCATTTGTATTATTATTCTCATTCTTTAATATTTTTCTATTTTGCAAATGCATTAATATCTATAATGCTATTAGAAATCGATATTTTGAAGAATTAGTTCTTTTAAGTTGTGATTATAGTTTAATTAATATATAATTTGCCGCGAAAATAGAGCCTGAATGAAGCTAGCCTGCCTGCAGGCAATTTCGTATTTTCCATTCCAGCAAGTGGATGTGGAGATAGTGGAGCCATCAACGGGAATGGTTAAATCTCGAAGTGCCAATACTTTAGCCAGAAGACGTCAAAAGATTTCAGAAATGCCAAAAAATACCGATCAATCCTATTCTGGAATGACGAGGGATCCAATTTCAGTTCCAAATTTTAGAGCATTGACTCTACCAACTCCAGTTTTAACTCCAGTTGAAGCTTCCAGACTAGTTTTTGTCGATCCTGAAGACAGTGACGAGGATCGAAAAGAACCGCCAACTTCCCGACTTATTGAAGTTCCGGAAGAAGAAAAGTATGTTTTACTTTGAACAGTAATCATTTTATATAGAACACAAATGATAAAATTTCTGATATAATTTTTCAGAGACTTTGCAACTATCCACCAGGCCTGTCAACCGACACGGGGCGAAAGTTATAGTTCGCATCTTTACGAGGCTGTCCAAACACCAAAAACTCCAACGACTACAAAAATCCCAACATCAGCTTCCGTCCGATTTGCCGATCTCGAAGAAGGTGAAGAATCAACGTCCGATTATGCGAGTATAGAAGCCAGAAGTCCTGGCGATCCTTTAGGTGATGACGACTGGCCGAAGAAGACGAAACACAAGACATCGATATTACGAGAAGGTCAATTTGGATTTTGTAATCCAAATTATCTTGGACTTGAAACAAGTAATAATGATGGGAAATTTGCAAAAATGTTAAATAGTCCACCCGACAGTGTTCTGGAAGATGAGCCAGGAAGATCGGCTTCTCAAACATTTACTGAATTGCTCGAATTACAGGAAATTAGGCCTAGAGCACCACCAAAAAGTTTACCTCTTGGCTCACCTTCTAGAAGAGCTGTCAGTGCATCACGAGCGGAGAGACAAAGGGCCAAATTGGCAGCCAATGAGACAAATCCTCCAGGTCCTGCTCCACTTTATGTTTTCTTAGTCGGTGGTAAGGAGAAAGGTCAGGTCACAGTTTTCGCGAGACCTGTATCTCTTTGGAAATTGCAATTAGCACCTCATATTTTTTAGAGACCTCAAAGATGAAGTTAGATGGTCATTTGATGATTTCAGAGTAAATCATCATTGATGCTGAATATTGTGATGTGAGGATTTACTGATTTGAGCCAAAGTTAGATAGCAAATACAGTTTCAATTTTCGACTTCTCTTTCGTAACTTAGCAAAAATTTTGGATTAAAATCATATGTCGGTGAAATTTTGTTTTTATCTTGATCAATGCAAATTAAAATAAATTTGCTTTTTTATAGAAAAAATATTGTGTTGGTGAAAATTTCCCAATTGCCACATACTTTATCTGTCATCTTTAAGGAAAGAATACGTACACCCAAAAATGAAAATTGGAAATGGTTTTTTAGACTTTTTGTGATACTTAAATATGACATGTTTATTGGAGTTTAAGGTTACATTGACGGTGCAAATATAGAATGCAAAACAGAAAATCATGAGTGCAGGTGAGATAGATGGATATCACTATCCTTCTGACTTTCATGATTTTCTGCCATAAAGAATAGACTACAAGAGACCAATCTCTCATGCATGTACTTCACTAAAGTAGTGCCAACATTTGTCGGAGGTTCATAACAGGTACTCATGCACCCCCATAGGTGGGGAAAGATTCGCATAGATACCACCAACGCACGCATGTCAAGAAATATCTGTCAGTGTTTTCAATAACATAACCTGAATTTAGGTAAATTTTTATCTTGGGGAATTATTTTTAAATTAGATTGAAAATAAATAATTTATCCATTAAAAATGAAGTTAAAGTATAATTAAAGTTACAATATTGGAACATTCATCGAAGAAGACATATTAAATACTTTAATCTCTAACAATGTAGGTAAATTTAACAAGACAACTTTAAGGTTATATCAAGAATCAAAATTCGAACATGCGATTTATTTCTAAACAATAGGTCATGGAATAGTATAAGGAGACCGAACGACGTACATTGAAAGTGGACCAAATTTTGGTAACCGCTTAGTGTCATGAAAATACGTAATGGAACACAAGCGCTCTTGTGGGAAGTATGTAAAAAGTGGAAAAAATTAGAAGTACGTTGAACATAACCCAAAAATACATTGCTCCTTATTTTTAAAACTTTTACAATGGCTGACTGTCCAGCTGAGTTTAACACAATCAGTGGCGCTAGTTGTCCATTACGTATTTTCATGACACTAAGCGGTTACCAAAATTTGGTCCACTTTTAACGCAGATTTAACATGGTCGTTCGGTCTCCTTATACTACTCCATGCAATAGGTATTGACAAAAAAAATGAAATTTTTTTAAAATGAATAAATAATTTTTAAAACAGTTGAAAGTAATAAATAAGAAATTCAAATACAAATGAAATTTATGCTTTTAGGTTATATTTTAATAGACTGCAAAATTCTATAACGTTAATTGTTTTCAAAATTTATAAACATCTAAAGAAATAGATATAAATAATATAATAATATAATTTTCCAATATAATAATTGCGATACAATACACGTGGCTCTGTGGAAATTAACCATGCATGTTTTTAATCAAGAAGCACATGTTCCTTTCAGAATTTCTGGTATCTATGCGATTGTAACGCGTCGCACAATAAGTTTCGGAACTAACTAACACTTCAACTCGTGATAAATTGGTTGGTTTTTTATATTTTTTGATCAAACAAAAAGAAAATTAAAGCTCAGAGTATTCTTAAATTAAAGTAATAATAAAAAATTAATATTTTTATAAATAAAAAAAATTATTATTATTTTTCAAGACAATGTATAAAAAGTATGTTTGATAATCTTCAAGCGCTTTGTTTTGGTTCAATAATAATAATCGTTATTGGTAAAAATATTCTATAGAGTTGTATCATTTTGAATCTCAGAATTCTTTTCAGAGTAGACTTTCCTTAGCAGATGAAAGATGACAAAAATTCAAATGATATTCTTCACATAATGCGTAACAAATAATTAATTTTTTCGACAGAATTTTTTTTTAAATAACTCGAAAGTAAAAAAGATCAACATTTTGCCAATATTTTTGCTAAGTAAATGTGATGCTTTCAATTTCCAATCACTTTCAAAATAATAATATTTCATTTTTCGATCTTTTTATAACATATGATATAAAAAATTGTTTTGTGCAGAAAAAAAAACTGATTTTAAATGATAGCTTAGATTTAAGATTTTTTTTTTCTATACATTATTTGAGGTAGTGTATAATTTAATTTGTTAACATGTTATAATATGATATTTGTAACTTTTTTTTTAATAATGGAAGTGAATGTTGCGAGAAATCAAATATGATAATATCACACGAATCAAAGTTGTATTAACAATATAGAAAAATATTAGGCGATAATATACATAATAACAACAAAAAAGAATAAATATTGATTTCTAAATTGGTATACAAATTTTTCCTTTATGTTCAGTTGTAACAGCTTACTAAACGTAGAGAATACTGAACTTAAGACACATAAAATATAGTATTTTTGTCAAGAATAATGTGCATCAAATGTATATCAATATATATATATATATTAGTGCCAGAATTTATAGAAAAAAAATGTTACCATTTAAAATATTCCCTTAAATTTGTTTTTAAAATATTAAATTATAAAAAAGTGATTTGAAAATTAATCTTCCCAAGCAGCACGGTAAATTCCCTGAATATCCCTTGAGTACCACAATGGAATATTCTCATTTGATCTTCTAGGAAAATCAAAATGTCCGCATCATGGGAATATTCCACAGTGATATTCAGGGTATATTACAGTGTCATTGAGGGAATATTCCTTGGTGACATTCATGGAATATTCCAGTGACATTAAGGGGATATTCAGATGATATTGAGGGAATATTCCAGTGATATTGAGAGAATATTCCACGGTTATATTGAATTTTTTTTTTAAATGTGTTTTTAATCTTCCTGCTTATTCAAATAACAATTTATAACAGATTTCTATTATTTCAACACTTTAAAAAAAAAATTCAATTTAACCGTGAAATATTCTCTCAATATCACTGGAATATTCCTTTAACCCCTTCACAGTCCAGTTAAAAATCGCTGGTGGGCCTAAAACGGTCCGAAAAAAAAGTTTCCAAAAACATATGACTTCATCATATTTAAGGTTTTTGTGGTCGCTGAATTGGAATTTGAGGTCAGTTTTTCAAAATTCAAAATGGCGGATCCAATATGGCGGACAAATTTAAAAAAATTTTTTTAAAAATTTGTCCGCCATATTGGATCCGCTATTTTGAATTTCAAAAAACCGACCTCAAATTCGAATTCAGCGATCCCAAAAACCCCCGAGTAACAAATTTCAGACAAATCGGATTGATTTTTTAAAAATTTGTCCGCCATATTGGATCCGCCATTTTGAATTTTGAAAAACTGACCTCAAATTCGAATTCAGCGACTACGAAAACCCCCGAGTAACAATTTGTGGTCAAAACGCATTAATTTTTAAATTATCCGCCATATTGGATCCGCCATTTTGAATTTTGAAAAACCGACCTCAGATTCGTAATCAGAGACCCCGAAAACCCCTAAGCAACGAGTTTCATGTAAATCTGATAAATTTTAAGTTTTCATGGTCGCCATTTTGGGTCCGCCATTTTGTTTTTTTGAAATCTGACTTCAAATTTGGATTCAGCGACCCCAAAAACCCCCGAGTAACAAATTTCAGGCGAATCAAATTAAATTTAGTATTATTTTTTTGCGATGGCCATATATGGCCACTTGCACAAAGGTGGCACGACTTTTTCTGGCCACATATGGGCCCTGGACTGTCAAGGGGTTAATATTACCTTCAATGTCACTGGAATATTCTCTGAATGTCACCGTGGAATATTTCCATGAGGCGGACATTTTGATTTTTCTTGAAGATCATGGGAATATTCCACGGTGGTATTCAAGGGATATTTAGGGGATATATCGTGCTGCTTGGGTCATTATGTTCTATTAAAAAAATACGTTTATTTGTTGAATTCTAATTGAACATTTTCCAATCAAATATAGGTATATATATGTATTATCCAGAGATTTGTTTTCTATATACGACAAAAATTTACTTATACTTAAAAATAGGGGTTTTTTCTCCCCATAATTAGACAAAAATACCTTGATTAGTTCCTGAGAATATTCAATTAAAATTCAATGAGAAATAAAAATAAGTAAATTACTAATTTATATTAATTTGAAAAATCACATAAGATATTATCCTCCTTTTTACAATAATAATTGTTTAAAAAAAAATTTTTTGTATAATTAATTGTTGTATTATTCTTTAATTAGTTGATGTTTTTTTATATTAATAAAAATTGGTAGCTAGATTTTTAAATATATATATATATATATATAAATATATGTATGTTAATGAACTTAAATGTAGAAAAACTTATAAGATAATTAGAACTTGAAAAAAGTATTAAAATCATGTTTGTATACTCGTTAATTATAATAATAATTATAAGACTTTGATTTTTCGTTAACAGAAATTAGTTTTTCTCAAAAAGTAGATATAAAAATTATCAAATTAAATTATATTATTCTTTCAAAATATAACATTAAATATTATTATTCTACTGGAATATAATACTATACATATTATTGACTTTGAGTTCACTGATTAATTTATCAACAGAATATTAATAATTAATATAAAAATTATTTAGAATAATTTTTAAGAGAATATGATTTTTATCTGTGCTTTTTTATTTAAAAAAAATTGACAATGTAAAACGTTCTCTTTACATGAAATATAGGCTAGCAAATTAAAAAACGCAGAAAATATAAGTTCATATTGAACATTTTAGGTTTTTTGCATATAAATTATTAATTAATTAATCAATTAATTATTGATAATTGTCATATTGTAAAAAGATGTAAAATGTATAACAATCAGATTTATCGATAATAAGTCATTGGATCAGACGTGCCAAAATTATTATTATTATTATTATTATTATTATTATTAGGGTAAAATCACCAGTAAATAGTGTTCAATTCACCTCTGAAAGAAGTCTATTTTTTATTAAATAAAAGCCAGCAGGAACTATAGTTACTAATTCTTAATTGTAATATGTATTATTTAAAGGTAATTAACTCCAAAAGTTGGAACGATTTAATTACTGCCATTAATTATTAATCAATGTAGATACACCCAGTATTAATAATGAATCATTTTTTATTTTTATATTAATATGAATTTTGAAAGAAATATGCGTTATTTTCAAAAAAAAAAAAATTGGCTCGTCTGCTCCGAAATAGAAAAAAAAAGAATAATACTAATATTGTGAGTGTATTCTATTCTGTATTAAATAATCATTATAAATTTATTATATTGTCAGGAGCGTATAAAAAAAAAAGAATACACTTTAAAGAGAGATAGAGTTAATTTTATGATTTTAAATGATTCGAAAATGGAATTGCTCAAAATCCGCTTCTTGACCCGAAAACACGTAAAATGCTCGATCACTTGATTGTTAAATTTTTGAAAAATGAAAAAAATGTTATTTTTTTTTAATAGCAGGAACATCGTATTTTGGTTATCTGTTGTTATAAATATAGTTTCTTTATCGTCCTTTGCAGATCAATGTCCTTGTTCTTGATAAATAATCATTTATATAATAATGAAACTAATAGTTATGTTTAGTTGTGTTTATTGGTGTTATGCGTTGTTTTACTTTTCGCAAAAAATTATAATTTGTTATTTATTGTTATAATTATTATTATCATAATTTTTTTTTTTTGAGTTTTTAATTGTACAAAAGCCTGTTTATATGTTATTATTATTCTTATTAAATAAATAAAACATTTGTCGATTCATCTAATATATTTATAATGTTAATAATTTTAACAAATAATTAATGTTTTGTTAATTAAAGATTAATTTTTGAAAGAAAATTTGAATTTATTTATATTTTATTAATTATATTAGTTATAATTAATTATATATTAATATTTTTATTATAATGTAATTTCACAATTGTTTCGTTAAAATTGAAAAAAAATTAAATACTAT